GCACTACTGCTAGTCTTTCGGTAACGGTGAGCCGCGACGCGCACTCATTTCCGGGTTTACAACAGTCGAGTTCGATCGAGTATGGCCCCAGTCGGTAGGTAAGCGTGGGTCTTGGGCCGGCCAACGGGGAATGAATTCGAGCTAACGGTACATAGCCACCCGACGGTGGCCACACGTTAACTCGAAGCGCCGCGATGCCAGGCCACTCTCCTGAAAACCACGAGCTGTGAAAGTAGACACCCTCCTTCTTCTTACGGATCCCAGTTTTATCTTGAATGACCTCGTCTCACCGCCCTCGTCGAACGCATTCTTGTTTTCCAGTTAGTAAATAAAAATATGTTTAACCGCGAAAACTTACGCTGCTATTAATATTCTATCGGAGAAATATCAACTATGGCGGCGGTTACGCGCGGAGTATATTGTGAGAGCGAGGGGAAAGCGGCGCGTGCGCGCTTGTCGATTAAACAGTCAACTCTTATGGTATCGTTCTATTTACAGGTATTATAATTATTTTTACAATTTTATAAGAATCGCGAATTTTCGAAAAAAATTTACTACAGTGCAAAAAAACACCTGTCCGTTGTTCTGTTTTACTCTCAATTACTTCGTTTCCTTTACCACTACAAAGCGACACTAACTCTGTGCGCACCTAGCGGAGACTGAAGTGAGGTTAGGTCGAGAATCGATATTTTGAAGATATTTCGATAGCCGCCATATTTTCATGTTATTGCGCGCGTTATATGAAGAATTTATTGTAAAGTCATCATCTTTTTTGATTTTGTATTCTTTTATTGTAAATGAATATATATATTTATAATATGATATAATAAAAATAAATAAAAACATTTAATGTTTTTTATTCCTTTTATAATCTTTTTTTATTATAAATATGCTATTCCATGCTTTCACAGTCTCAAAATACTTTGCAATCTAATAAATGTTTATAATAAAAATATAATAGATCAACGACACGTCACTTTTATAGAATCAGCAATTTAATATAATATTGATATATTATATTATAACAATAATGAAATATATATATTATCAATAATTATTCAAAGCATAAACATAAATATAATTATATAAATTTTAATTCTATGTTTGTCTAACTGTGAATTATCATATGACAAAAAATTTTAAATATTTAATTTTCTTTTTATATATACAATTTCATTTATATAATAAATAATAAATTGTTATTAAAGATCTTCAAGACTTTTTAAAATTTTTAATGATTTAATTAATAAAATTGTATTGAAAAGGAATGAAACAAATGACATGCAAGAAATGCTTAATGATTAGGAATTATAATTTGAAAATAGAGATATCAAAATGAATCAGATGTTCTCTGTATACGTTCCATGTATAAAGAAAATAGTAGCTTATTACTTTCATAATAAAATGGATTTTCAATAGCATCTAAATCAGGTTTATATTCTGCTATGTAACTACTTTGGCTAGAGCTATATCCATCGTATAATGGTGATCCTTGAGAAAGTTCTGAATAATTTGGAGAAGGCATAAAATTCCTATTGCAACAATCTGTTTCCATGTTTTCAGACACATTTTCTTGCATGCCTGATAAACCATTAATATGAAGATTATTAATTCTTTTACTTAATGGCATAAATTCACTAGATTCTTCTTCTGCATCACGCCCTCTCTTTCTAAATATTATAAATAAAAGTGAATTAATGAAATGAAATTTTATTATTTATACATTACATGAAAAAATTGTGTCATTTCACACACACATCAATAAAAACTAACCTGTTAGCCCGAGTCATTTTTGAATAAATTTTAACTTTTAGTAGAAGATTTTATTATAAATATATTCTTAACCACTGCATATTATGATATTTGTAACTTTTCTCTGCCGAAACAATTAATGTCGTATATTGTTCAGCCGTGTACGTCATATACGTTTGTCAAGAAAACAAATCTTGATTACACAAATCGACAATATATATATATACTTCAATCTTCTCGCTTAACTATAGTTCAATCTTTCATTGGTAGAGTGCGTAAGTGACACGTTTTCAATCAAATACTTTAAAAATTAATTATATTTCAATTTTATTTATTATTTATAGTTGATTTAAAAATACAATATTTAGATGTATTATTTTAAATATAATACATTGAATATAATATTATAATTTTTTATTTAGAATTTCTATAATATATTGTATAAAATATATTATAATATATTTTATACAATATATTATAATATAGTTATTTTTATTTATTTCTGTCAAAGATAAGTTATTATAAATTATTTTTATAATTTAATATTTTATAATAGAAACAATCCATTTAAATTCATGAAATATTTAAAACAATTTATTCTATATCGTTATATTTTTATTAAAATGAATTTATGGAAAATAATAAATTATAATAAGATAGAAAATATGTTCAAAACAAAAGTATAAAACATATACTTTTTTATTATAACGAAATAAAATATTTCATATTTAAAGTATATATAAGTATATAATATAATTGTGATTCATTTTACATATAATATGGCTAGTGATTTTTTGATATTTTTCGCCTATTACCTACAATTTTTAATTGTTATTGCTGACATTTTGTGACTCACGATATAACCATCGATCATTTAGTTACCGACCGGAAGTAGAATAGTACATATCAAATATATATAAGAAAACATTATATGACATCTTTGTTAAAAATAATTATATAGCATTAATATATAATGAGTTATTAATGTTATATTTTTAAAATTTTAATTAATTTTTAATAAATTTTTGTTAATATATATTAACAATATTAATATGTAATATATGTATATAACAATGTTATTATTTATTATTTTGCATATTCTCATAACAAATCACTAAAATTATATATTGACAAATCATATTTTCTGCAATATTATTTCATTAATCTTTATATATATTTTTAAATGTACATACTTTGCTTAAAAGTATTTTCAAAATAATCATGGAACTTTAAAATTTAATTATTTTTCTTTATGATAAAGTTAATTTTAAAATCTTCAGTACATGTATTATTATATTTATTTATTTAGATGTATTATTTATATTTATTATAAATATATTATAATACAATTTGTCAACACGTTCAAATATTTATGAATAGTTATTGATTTTT